CCAGTAGTACCTTGTCCCCGCACACACGTGTCTCCGGACTTTGACAGATGCTCTCAGAAGCAAAAATCGCATCTTGTTGAGAACCAGAGTTTAGTCTCTCTCTCTCTCTCTCTCTCGTGTGTGTGTGTGTGTGTGTGTGTGTGTGTGTGTGTGTGTGTGTGTGTGTGCGCGCGTGCGTGTGCGTGCGCGCGCGCGCGCGCTGTGAGAAAGATAAAGATGAACCAAGTGCCCAGGATGCCTAGCTCAGATTATAGAGATCCGGACATGGTGGCTCGCCTGTAATCCCAACACTGGGAAGACTGAGGCAGGAGTATGGGTTATGTGCCTAAAGAAGAAAATGTAAATGTGGGGTTGGGGAATGTAGCTCAACTGGTAAAGTACTAGCTTAGCATACACAAAGCTCTGGATTAAATCCCAGGCACTGCATTGAAAAACAAAAACCCCACAGTATTGGTGGAGGCAGGAGGATCAGAAGTTTAACATCATCCTTCACTACATAGCGAGTTGGACACCAGTCTGGCATAAATAAGACCCTATATAAAAAAAGAAAAAAATAAATAAAATATAATTGGAAAGAAAAGAAACCAGAATCCCCGGAAGCAAGAGTGAAAACCATTGCAGTCAGCGAATTGAATGATGACTAAGAAGGCTTGTGGACTTGTGGATAGTTTAGCAAGAAAGGTGGTTGCAGGTGGAAGTAATTGAGGACATCTCTATGGAGAAAGTGTGATTTTTCAGTGCCTTGACTGGTAATTTGGATATTAAGCAAAAGGATGAGCATTACAGGAAGAGAGGAATAGGCAGAGTTATGAATAATGTCAGGGCTCACTTGGGGCATGGAGATTCTAGCCTGACTCTTGCATTATGTGCTGGGAATGTTAGGTATTTAAGTTCTATGAAGTCACAGTTGGATCATTGTTAAAGGTAACAGCACAAAGGAATACAATGAGTTTTGATGCATAGCTATAAAAAATTAAAAATAATCAAAGTTGAGAGGTGGTAAGAATAGTAACAGACTTTATTGGAGTTGAACAAGCTTTGGTTTTTTTGTTTTTTGGGGTTTTTTTGTTTGTTTTGGTAATTATAGAAGTTGGAGTGTAAAGGATGGGTTAAGGATGCACACAGAATTAGGGAGAGCATTTAAGCATGAAAAAGAATCTGGATCAGATATAGTCAAAATGAGTTTGAAGAAAGTAGACTGGTAGACTGGTCCACTCCAGCAGAGGTGAACAGTAGGATTGAGGAGAGGCATATGGAGCAATGTGGGAGAACCTGTTTTGAATACTAACACATGATCATGTAGCTGAGAGGCATTAAAGCTTTTGAGCATAATAGTGAAGACTATTCTAAAAGGATGCTGATGTGTTGTAAACACTGTTTTTAAATAGCATCAGTGCCCAAAGATATTTGAACTCTTCACACTGTCTTTGGTCCCAAAGTTAAACAGAAGTAGATTTAGTGGTCTCTAAAAGCCAACATAAACTCACTTGGGGGTGAGGGCATTGCTTTTGACATTTATAGGGACATTTTCCTGTTGGAGATCTGTCAGTAGTGTTCATACAGCTCCTCATTACAGCAGACATGTTCCATGTGACACAAGTTTAGTTTTGCAGCCCTTAATTTGTGGAACAAATGAGACTACTGCTGTGAGGAGCACAGGGCAGTTTCTAGAGGTTGCTTTGGTTCCTCCAGGACTGTAAAGAGATTTGCTATAAAAATGGATGGCTTTGAACTGGGGTGTATGAGTTTTATCTTGTATTTGCCTGTAACTCAAAAGCTTAACTTGGAAAGGATTTCTAAGCTCATCCTCCCGCTCTTGCACCGGAGGTAGTCCACCATCATGAATTTTAGTGTTTTGCTAACTTCAGATGACAGCGCTGGGTGTGGCCTCTACAGCAGTTTAGAATAAGTCTGTCAAGTCCAGAGTTAGCAAATACTTGGTCTCATGCACATACTGCCCTTCCCTAAACCCATAGCTCACATGAATAATTGATCACAGTCATTCACTGCTGACCACACTGTGATCTCAGCACCAACTCCTGGCAGTCATGCCAGCTTATTAGATTTTGCTCTCAAGAAAGCCTTTGCTGTCCCTAGTGAAATTCCTTTCTACTAGACATTGTATTGTATTTTAAAAATATGTACCCCTTCCACCAAAAGAACACTTCCCACTTAGTTTAAAACACCTTTAGTTCCTTCTATTGCTCTTGTTTTCTTTCCAGAGCATTCTTTGTTTATATCCCACCTTCCCTCAACACATTGTTTATTGTATTCATCATTTTAAACTATGATCCCCAGAACTGAGTACCTTCTACAGAGAATTTAGTGAAGATGACGGCAGCCTTTCTCCACCTTGCTTGGACATTGTCTTACTCAGCTTTGGTTGTTGTTTGTTTTGTATTTTTAGATTTACTTTGTTCTGTGTGTGTGTGTGTGTGTGTGTGTGTGTGTGTGTGTGTGTGTGTACGTGTACAGGTGGCCACAGAGGCCAGAAGGAGTTGGATCCACTAAAGCTAGTCAAGTTACTGATTCAGTGCCAGGCATGATAGTTCAGACCTACAATTCAAGGACACTGAAACAAGATCATGAGTTCAAAGCCAACTTGGGCTACACAGTAAGACCCTGTCTCCAAAAATTAAACAAAAAAATTTAAAGAAACCTTATAGGTCCAAATGCCTATCTGGACCAGGTTAAAGTCAGACTCAAAACCTCTCTGGAGACATTGGACCATAAATTGGTATAGATACTCAGCGTTCCTGGGTATTAATGGTAAGTCAGCTAGCTATAAGTCGCCCCTTATTCAGCAAATAATGAGTGCTTCCTGGGCCTTTGGCACTGTTGTGACCCTTGGGATACCACAGAGAATAAGAATAGTGTGTCTGTTCTCATTGAGGGTGCCTTTCTATACCCAGGCTATAGGTCTCCAGTGTTCTCTTACGTAGATACCAAAATAACCCAGAAAGTTTGCTGCCCACCTACATTTCCTTTGCAAAGCAAAAAAAATAAGTTTGATGTGGTTTGTTCTTATTAATGTAGAGAATGTGCATGAATAATAACTTGTTTTGTTGTTGGTAGTGGTTTTTTTTTTTTGTTTTTTTGTTTTTTAACTTATACTGAATGAGCTACTGTGCAGAAAAAGGTCTTGGCATGGTGTCTCACCAAAACCAGCCAGGTAATACCTATTTATGTTGGTGTTTTCATCTCTGGATATACCCAGTTATAGAAGAGGAGATAACCCTTGTACATGTTTTTGAAAATAGGAATAACATTTAACTATCTTTTAGCAGATAGAACCTTTCTGTGCATGTGATTTCTTTAATATCCCTTAACAGTAAATAGAGATTTGTTGCTCTAAGCTGTATAATTTGCCAGGACCTGAAGATTTGTTTGATTTGAAATGCCTAGGAATTTTTCTAATGACTAATACGCAGTCTTGAAGTTTGCATCCTGCCCAGCTTGGCTTGCTGCTGCGAAGGCATGCTTTGTAACAGAAAATAGAAATTAAGCAGATTCACATCTTCAGTTATTTCAGTGTATACCCAGTGCTGGAAACCCTGCTTTTCCTAATGGTAACCTACAAAAGGCATTTACTTTTCTTAACATATTTCACACACTTCAGTTCTTTTATGAATTTTGCTCTTTTCATGGAGCCTGGCTGGCTTTGAACTCATGATCTGCCTGCCTTAGCTACCCCAGTGCTAGGATTGCAGTGTCTGGCTTAATCTCTGTGTTTGGGATCAGCTAATAAGCACCTTTTCTATCCACAGGAACTGTAACATATTCAAAAGTTGCAGAGATTAGAATGTGGATATCTTCAGAGAGGGAGGTCCATTAATTAGGCTTATCTGAGCTAGGCATTTTGAAACCATCCTGGATTCTTCCTTTTTCCTCTGTGTCCCAATATAATCTCCTACGAAGTTGGGTGTGTCCACCTCTTCAAACTAGCCTTGTGGAGATGCTTCAGGGGTCTCCATTGAAGAATTGAGCAGACACGTACATTGGTCAACACAGGTACTTTTAACCACAGCAGTTACTTTGTGTTTGCTTCTTTGTTTGTTTGTTCTTATCTTGAAACAGGGTCTCACTCTAGTTCAGGCTGTTCTGGAACTCACTATGTAATCCAAACTGGCCTCAGAGCCACAGTGATCCTCCTGTCCCAGCCTCCCAAGTGCTGGGGAAACGGGCATCAGACAGCTTGTATTGTTTTATATGTTGGAACTCTAAATAGTAATACTTGTTTTGTGGGTTGAGAAGGTGCAGAGTTTTATAAAGAGTTTAGAATAGTTGATCTAGAGTTGAGCTGTTCTGTATTGGAAGTGCTAGCCCACACAGATACTTAGTTCAAACCAAAAAATTAAAAATTCAATTCTGCAGTTATACTAGCTACATTTCAAATGCTTAGTGGCTTCCATATTAGACTGTATGGTTGTACAGCATTTCTATCTTGGCAGAAAATTCATTAACATGGATAACAAAGGAATGTTTCACCTTTGCCCAGTACCCACAGTGAGGTAAACCTGAGAATAGTTGCTAAAAAGTTGTAGGTGCTCCCTTTCTGAGTCTAAATGCTGCGTGTTTTCTCTTACATATGGGATCTAGGTTGAATAACATTTGCACATAAAAGAAGTGGGGACTATTTGCTTTTTTGTTTTGTTTTGTTTTTTTGTTTTGTTTTGTTTTCGAGACAGGGTTTTTCTGTGTAGCTTTGCGCCTTCCCTGGAACTCGCTTTGGAGACCAGGCTGGCCTCGAACTCACAGAGATCCACCTCCCAAGTGCTGGGATTAAAGGCATGCGCCACCACCGCCCGGCCAAGAAGTGGGGACTATTTGAGAGGGGGCATCTGTAACAAGGAAGCAACAAGAGAGGGTGGTGAGGAGGTGGGAGTGATTGAAGTGCATTGCGCATGCTTGAGGATGTCCTGGGAAAGCCATTGCTTTATGCAGTTAAGAAGTTCTAAAGGAAAGAAGCTGTCTCACTGCCCAGCTGGATAAGTTGTATGAGAACCCTCATATGTCTGTCTTTTGGTTCCTATTTTTATTTCATGCTATCTAAACACTATGCTTCTTTAACAGTTGCTCATCCCATAAAGGACCAAGTGTGGGGCATGATGTAGGTTATCTTTCTTATGCATTCACTTCCTTCTGCTGCCTGAAGGCCTCCTCCTATGCTGCTGCTGCTTAAAAATATGTGTACTGAGCAAAGTAAATCCTTCCCTTGGCAAACTACAGCCCTGCAGCGTATTCTAGCAAGAATTCATGACATCGTTGTTTACTTGGTTCAGATTCCAAGTTCTTTCCTTTCCTTTTCTCTGCGACTACTATCAAGTCTCCCCAACCTTGCATAGCTTTTTTGTCAGTCCTGCTTATCTTTGTTACTCCCTTTCATTATTGGACCCTTTTCTTATCTTCTAAAACAAGCAGCTTTTTCTGGAAAGGACTAAATAGTAAATACTTTTGGCTGTGTGTGCTAGATAGTCTCTGTTGCCGATGCTTAGCTCTTCCACTGAAGGACAAAAGCAGTTTTTAGACCATAGTAAGAGGATGCATGATGCATGAGGTTAAATTTTGGCCTGCAGTCTGCAGGTGTAGGCCCTTGTCCCAGATAATGTTCTAAATCTTCATTGTGTCCAAAGAGTCTCTTATTTGTCTTCCACAATCATAGCCTTCCATTTTGAACTAAAAGGACTAACTTCACCTTGCTTTCCTTCTTTAGGAAACACGTTTCAGATTTCTTTGGATTTCATTGATTTTTCTGTGTGAATCATCAGAAGACCCAGAGAGTCTTGGTGAGTTGTGGTCTCTTACATCCTCAGATGTCCAGGAGGCTGACTGGACACTCATGGTTGACTAGATTCCCACCCCATGATGAGGAGTTACTAGTTGTCATATCCCAGTGTCATATATTCATCCATGTTATTCTACATAACATTTACCGAGCACTCATTGTTAGCCAGACATCCGCTGCTAGAATTTCATGTTTAAATATGTTGGGTTGTGTAGTAAGCTTCCCACAAATACCAGTGAAGTAGCTCCAGTGAGTGGTACCACTGCTGTATAGATGAGGCAACAGACAGGGAGATTAAGCTGGTTCCTGTGGTCACATTGCAAGTAAGAGTCAGAGCCTGGCTTTGTCTAAATCCAAAGCCCTTGTACTGGAAGTACAAGCATACTAGAATCCACCCATCTACTAACCCAGATGATTCTGTTGAAAGCCATGGAATAGAGCTGGTGCAGTCACTTGCCACTGAGTTTGATCCCTAGGACTAACATGGAGGAAAGAGATGACTGACTCCACATGCATGCCATGGCTCATACCCTCACACACACACACACCTAACACACACAATAAATGAGTATAAAAAATGTTAATGTAAAATCATGGAATACTTGGTTTCTGCCCACCCTATCCCAGTGTCTCGTAGTTTTATTGTTTGTTTTTGTTTTGAAACAGTCTCACTGTTATATAGCTTTGTCTACCCTGGAACTTGCTGTAAAGACCAGCCTGGCCTGGAAGTTGCAGAGATGCACATAACTCTGCCTACTGAGTGCTAGGATTAAAGGCTTGTCTACCATGCCCAGTAAACTGTTTCTTAATAAATTAGTATATGAAGAGACATATCATAGGCCCTTGCATTTTCAGAGACTTAAATTTGTTGCATATATCCTTCTGATAGAAAACAAGTACACTGTATAATCTGTGAATAAATGTTACTTTATCTCTTCTATATAAAAGTGGTCTGTGGTATATCTGGTTTTTAGCTTCCTCTGAAGGGTACCTCCTGAACATTTCTGAGGCAAGCTAATTATTTCCTTTGTCTTTTCTACTTTTTATTGTATTTAGCTAACCAGCAACCTCTATTAGTCTTTCCAGGTGTTAATATGAAAAGGACCATGGACCTTGTGGTCCAGTTTAAGCACAATATACTCCATCAGATATGGAGACCCTTGAGCTGAATGTTTCAAATTTTTCAATCATGAGTATACTTAGGTATACTACAGGTTTTCCATTTTCCTCCAGAAGATATAGTACATAGGGTTCTAAATGACATATCACAGATATTTAATGTGTAAAATCCAAAAGTCATATGCCTATGATAGTATACCGGAAAGCAGACCATGTTGCCATTTTTGTTTGTTTTTTGTTTTTTTGGGACAGGGTTTCTCTGTATAACAGTCCTGGCTGTCCTGGAACTTGATTTGTAGACCAGGCTGGCCTCAAACTCACTGAGATCCACCTGCCTCTGTCTCCCAAGCGCTGGGATTAAAGGCATGCTGTGCCGCCGCCGCTACCTGGCCCATATTGCCAAATTTAAGAAAACTTAAGGGCTGGAGAGATGGCTCAGAGGTTAAGAGCACTGGCTGTTCTTCCAGAGGTCCTTCGTTCAATTCCCAGAAACCACATGGTGGCTCACAACCATCTACAATGAGATCTGGTGCTCCCTTTGGTCTGCTGCCGAACACTCAGTGTATATATAATAAATAAATCTTTAAAAAGAAAACTTAAAAAAAAAAAGTAAGCTGGGAGATAGTGGCACACGCCTTTAATCCCAGCACTCTGGAGCCAGAGGCAGACAGATCTCTGTGAGTTTGAAGCCAGCCTGATCTACAAAGTGGGTTCCAGGACAGCCACAGCTACACAGAGAAACCCTGTCTCAAAAAAAAAAAAAAAAAAAAATCAAAGAAAACTAGAATTCTGTACTTCATGTTAATCATTTGGGTTCTCAATATTGACGACTAAAAGTGTGTGTTAATTTTTTATTTAATTTGATTAGGAGCTATATATTGAAGACAATGTCTGGAAGCTTCTACTTTGTAATTGTTGGCCACCATGATAATCCAGTTTTTGAAATGGAATTTTTGCCACCTGGGAAAGCAGAATCCAAAGTATGTATACAACCTTAAATTTCATTAAGAATTTTTAGGGCGTTTGTAATGGTATGGAATAATAGTGTTTTAGAACTGAAATAGATCTGGAGAGATGAAGCCACTGAGATATAACAACAATTAAATAACACTTTCTCTGGAGTCTCACAGACTGTTAGAAAGCAGCTAGAGAAGGACTGTCACCCACTATGAAATACTTCTTAGGCATATGGAAGTGTAGCCGACCTTTCAGGGGCCTGGAACAATTTTTGTTGCCTCAAAATGCCACAGCAGTCCATTCTGTTTCAATAGATGACTTCTTTCAGCAGAGCAATCATAGATCAATTTACACCTGAGAATTAAAAATAACCTTACTCCCATGTGTTGCCGGCCTGTCATTGGGACTCTAGCACTTCATATCAGTGGCTTTTGCAGCACTGCTTACATTGTTCCCATCCTACTGGAACCCAGGCTACGTCAGGAAACTCTAAAAGCAACAGCAGAGGTGACACTTTCCTTGTTGGAATGGTTCCAGAGGAACAACCTTGATTCAAGAACATAATGCCCATCATTCAGAGTAAGCCAAGGAATTGACTTTTTAAAATTAGTTGTAATGTACAATCTTAACTAGGAGATACTTTTCAACTATTCAAATTGTACTGCCAAAATACCAGAGAAATTTAAGGGTTTTTTTTTTGTTGTTTGTTTGTTTTTTTTTTTTTTTTGGTTTTTCGAGACAGGGTTTCTCTGCGTAGCTTTGCGCCTTTCCTGGAGCTCACTTGGTAGCCCAGGCTGGCCTCGAACTCACAGAGATCCGCCTGCCTCTGCCTCCCGAGTGCTGGGATTAAAGGCATGCGCCACCACCGCCCGGCTTGTTTTAAGTATTTTCTGCTAGTTATTGGTCCTATGTTATTTCAAAGCTTTGTTTCAAGGAAAACACCTAAGCTTTGTTTTGAGGTAATGGCAGCAATTAGCTCCATTCGAGTTGCCACCTACATCCAGTTTCTGTGTATTCCAAAGGCCTATTGGGTAGTAGCACATGAAAACACTTTCTAACTTGACTTGGTCTTAGCACTTTCTCTGGCTGCTATCACCTTCTTAAAGCATCTCCAATTGGCCTCCAGTTGATGGATGATTCTCTGTCCTCAGCCTCCTTAGTGCCAGGATTACAGGTATGAGCCAGCACGCACACACTGAACCTTTTCCCAAGGACGTCAAGAACACTGGACTAAGAGGCCCACTCTACTCCAGAATGACCTCATTTTAACTGACCACAACTGCAGTGACCCTCCTTCTAAGTAAGGCCACATTCTGAGGACCATGAGTTCCCTCAAGGAGAGATTAGCAGTGGTTCTCAACCTTCCTAATGCTACAACCCTTTAATACAGTTCCTCATGTTGTGGTGACCCCAACCATAAAATTATTTTTGTTGGTACTTCGTGACTGTAATTTTGCTACTGTTATGAAATGTAATGTAAACATCTGGTATGCAGATGGTCTTAGAAGACCCCTGTGAAAGGGTTGTGTGACCACCAAAGGGGTCACGACCAACAGGCTGAGAGCCTCTGCTATATACTATATAGAGTATTTTATAGCAGATAGTTTTTGAAAAAAATTCTGAAAGAGAATTCTATGGGAGTAATACTACATCCAGGTGTTGAAGGTCCTTTCTACATTATAGTGAGTCATTCCTACCTTCTTTCCAGTTAGGCCATTTTGCCCACAAATGATTGTGACAGGATTGTTTCTTCTGTTGACAGAGATGACAATTCATGGCTGAAGCTGAATATGACCTCCTTCCCCATCCCAGATCCCAAAGCCATGTAAATTCTTTTTCTGTAAGAGGTCTGGCATAGATCTTCACCAAGTGTCTCTTTGTACTCAGGAAGCCTGGCTCTCCCTGTTGCCACCAGCCCTTGAGGCCCCATGTGCATAGCATCCCTTTGTATCTTTCCTTGACATCCATTTTGGTCTAGGAAAAGTGCCCTCTTTGATCCACATCTGCAAACGCACTTTGTGTGTTTCTCCTCTAATAAGATATGGGCTTCTGGAAAGTAGGATCTGCCTTATTTCCCCCCTTAAAAGTAGTAGTCTTTTAACATAATCTTTTACATCTCATAATGACAATACATAAGTAAATGCAAAGAATCCTCCCCTAAAATAATATGCATGTACAGAATGAAAACCTGGCATGCTGGTGCACACCTGTAATCCTAGCACCTGGGAGGCTGAGGCAGGGTCAAGAGGTCAAGACCATTCTAGGCTACATAGTAAGGCCATATCTAAAATAAGAGAAAACACACATGATAACAAACAAATTGACCAAATTTCAGAATGGATTGTCTGTGGTCCCAATGCCATGTGGAAATGTTCATCTTTCTCCATTCTCTGTCATTTAGGATGATCACCGTCATCTGAACCAGTTTATAGCCCATGCTGCTCTTGACCTTGTAGATGAAAACATGTGGCTTTCTAATAACATGTACTTAAAAACTGTGGACAAATTCAATGAGTGGTTTGTATCGGCATTTGTCACTGCAGGGCATATCCTTTCCTTATGTTGTAGTTTGTTTTCTGTTGCTATTATAAACATGACCAAAAGCAACTTCAGGAGGAAAGGGTTTATTTAGGTTACACTTCCCAAGTTACACTTCCCAAGTTACACTCTATTGTTGAGGGAAATCTGGGCAGGAACTAAAGCAGAGACAGTAGAAGAATACTGTATACTGGGCTGCTCAGTCTTAAATTCATCTACCATTGTTATAAAGCCTGGGCCTACCTGCCTATGATTGGTACTGCCTACAATGGGCTTAGCCCTCCTCCATCAATTAGCAGTTAAGAAAATGCCCCTCAGACATGACTACAAATACTTAGCCAAAGGCTGAGTTAGAAAACACAAACTTGAAACTTAGAGGCAGTCTCTGAATTTGAAGACTTCAAAGAGTCAGGCTGAGATTAAATTTTCCATTTATGAGGCTTTTTTTGTAAACATGTTTTGTTTAACAGATAATTTTAAGTGTCTCATATGCAAAACTAGGGTTTATCTGAACCATACCAAGGACTGTTTTACTTTGTTTCCTAATTTTAAAAGATTACATTCTCCTGAAGATAACTTGAAGCCAGCTTATATATTCAGCTTTGCCATCACAAAATGTGACTAGTATGAAGATTATCTTATCAGATGATTGCTTTGAATTTTCCATTTCCAGTAAAGATTATGCCTTAATTTTTTCACATATGAGATTTATTATGCTTCATGATGTGAGGCAAGAAGATGGAATAAAGAACTTCTTTACTGATGTCTATGATTTATATATAAAGGTATGGTATACTCTATAACTTAAAATAACCTGATTTTTAAAAAGGATAGTACTGGAGACATAGTCCAGATTACGGCATAAAAATCAATTCTTGTATTATTAGTAATTCTACTTTAGTGTTTTCTCACATATGTTATGAAGTACTTATATTAATTAGCTAAGAAACTGATTAGTTTTAGGTTTATGTTAAAGCAAAGTATTAAAACCCTAAATTAACAAATGTCTGTAATCCCAGCACTTGGGAGGATCATGAGTTTGAAGCCAGCTGAGCTACCCAAAAATTTGAAAGAAAAAAAAATGACTACACTTCACAGCAGTATGGTGTAACTTGTTTTAACTGAACATAAAAGACGTTTACCATTTGTTTACATAACCCAAAGGGTCATATAGATAATCCACATTTATAATAAATACAAGATAGATTCAAGATTCATGTTAATGTGTATAGGCCATATCAATCATACAGCTATTAGGTTAGCTTCAGGTACTTCTCAAAACTAAAATATTGAAACACAGAATTCCTAAAGAGGTGCCAGGTAAGGTGATACATGCCTGTGGTCCCAGTACTTGGGAGGTAGAACAGGAAGATCAGGAATTCAAAGCCAGTCTCAGATAATATGGTGAGTTTGAGGATGCTTTGGATTGCCTAAGACCCTATTTCAGACAAACAGGTGTGGCAGTTTACACCTGAATTCTAAGATTTGGGAGACTGGAAGGATTACAGTGAGCTTAATGCTAGTCAGAGTTAGAGTTCGAGGCCAGGCTAGGCTACAGAATGAGAAACTGTCACCCAGAAAAATTTTCTTTAAGGGGAAATTTTTGTTGTTTGTTCGTTTACTTATTTATTTTGGTTTTTCAAGACAGGGTTTCTCTTGTGTGGCTCTGGCTGTCCTGTAACTCACTCTGTAGCCCAGGCTGGCCTTGAACTCAGAGATCCACCTGCCTCTGCCTCCTGAGCACTGGGATCAAAGGCGTGCACCACTACCACCTGGCTGTTGTTTATTTTTTAAAGATTATTGTTGCATTTTTTTGTCTGTTTGTTGGGGGTAGGGGGCTGGAGAGAGTTGGCACCTGCCATGGTGTACATAATGGAGAGAGGTTAAGGCAGCTTGCAGGAATCAGCTCTCCTTCCACCAGGTAGGTCCTGGGGATGGAAGTGTGGTTGTCAAACTTGACTTTAGGCACTGAGCCACTTTATAGATTGATTGATTGATTGACTTAGTCTCATGTAGCCCTACCTGGTCTTGAACTTATTATGCAGCTAAAGCTAGCCTTGAATTCCTGATCCTCCAGTACCTCCCAAGTATAGAAATTACAAGGGTATGCACCCACACCTGACTAAGATATTATAATTTAACAATGGGCATCCTTTGAGAAGCCCTCACAAATGCCCTGGGTATGCCTTACTTCCTGTTGTCTTCCTGGGTGTCTCTTTCTCTTTAACCTTCGTGATTACAGTCTATATTTAAGTACAGTTTATATTTAAGTACCTTTTTAAAATCCCAATTCTGCTTCTTTAAAAAAAATTAACAGTGGAGCACTTTCAATGAGAATTAAAAATGAAACTCAGGCTTTTGTCTTTGCTAAATTTTAAGTTAAAATTTAAATTTCCTTTAGCAACCTGTGATATATTAGGCTCTTTAATGGCTCACTAATACCTTCTTCTTTCCTAGTTTGCAATGAATCCATTTTATGAACCCAATTCTCCTATTCGATCAAGTGCATTTGACAGAAAAGTTCAGTTTCTTGGGAAGAAACACCTTTTAAGCTAAATGGAGAAAAACTCTGAAATAAACAGTATCACCATCATGGGGTATACTCAGGAATGTGTGCGCTGTAAGTAATTTGAAATAGCCTGGAAACCTTTCACTTAAAATTGTATGTTTTCATGTTGATTATCAGCATTAATTTTGTTTGTGAACAGTGTTATTTATAAAGAGCTCTTTACCAGTAATTTTAAATGTTTTTATTTAAAAGCTTGCTTTTATTTAAAAAGTCTTTCCTGATTGAGATAATTTGATCTTAATTTATTAGTTCAAAAGCCGATGTCATAAGTTTACTATTTGTTAGATGTATTTAAAACTAAAAGCTTCTGCAGACATAACAAATTGAGTTATTTATACTTTTAGATAGATTCTTTTAAAATGCAGAATACACTATAGTACCAAGAAGCTGAAGCAGAAAGCTCCTGCCATGCCAAGTGTTACATGCCTGCCAGCCTCCATCCCGGGCTCAGAATAGTGATCCTGCTATAACTAAACCCTAGGCCCATGTACACTGAACCAGTAACAGGCCACGGCAAAATGTGTGGCCTCTGTCACCTTATATTCTTGTTTTTCCTTTCTTAGTGAACTAAAAGTTTAATGAGCTTGTTATATCTGTACTTTAAAATGTTGTAATACGGCTTCGGTTACTACTACGAAAAGCCTGGGTTACACTGACATTTGCATTTAGCCTTTTAAGCTATATACAGAGTGGGAGGTGGCAGATGTGGTTTCTTCTATAAGAAATGTTGGTTTGATTTTATAATAGTACATATGCATGGAAAAGCAAGTAAACCAGCTTTTCATGTACACACTGGAAGACTTTTTTCCATTCTAATTTCTTAGAAAGCAGTTATAAGCCTTGTATCCGTTTGTGAAGTTGTTACCATCACTCTTTGGTTTCTTAAATAAAGACTTATATTCAAGATTGTGGTAGTTAGATGCCTACTTTTAAAATGCAGCCCAACACCAATACTTTTTAAATCCCATTTCCCTACTGAAGTCTGAAAACTAATATGGTACATCTCAACCCATTTAACATCACAGATCACCTTTCACTGACTGCCAAAGTCACTCAAGTAAAAATCGAGAACTTGAGGCTGCAGAGATGTTACTTGGCAGTTAAGAGTAAGAGTATGTTCTGTTCTTGCAGATGACTCAGGTTGGCTTCCCAGCATCTAGGTGGAGATTCTAGAGATATCCAATGCCTCTGGCCTCCTTGAGCACCTGCACTTACAGGCGCATAATAAAAATAATAAATCTTGGGCTGGAGAGGTGGCTCAGTGGTTAAGAGCACCGACTGCCCTTCCAGAGGTCCTGAGTTCAATTCCCAGCAACCACATGGTGACTAACAACCACTTGTAATGAGATTTGGTGCCCTCTTCTGGCCTGCAGGGACACATGCAGGCAGAATACTGTATACATAATGAATAAATAAATCTTAAAATAAATAAATAAATAAATCTTTTAAAAAAGATCTAGGGCTGGAGAGATGGCTCAGAGGTTAAGAGCACTGACTGCTCTTCCAGAGGTCCTGAGTTCAATTCCCAGCAACCGCATGGTGGCTCACAACCATCTGTAATGAGATCTGGTGCCCTCTTCTGGCCTGCTGTCATATATGCTGTATACATAATAAAAAAATAAAATCTTTAAAAAAAAAAAAAGATCTAGTACTTTAAACAATGCAATAGGAGCGACCCAAATATGTGCTTATCATACACAACTTTCTCACCATCAATGAGCACATAACCCACACCCAAGGAGGTGCTATAATTCCAGACAACCAGCAGCAGCATCATAGCATGAAGTCAGGTGAGACTTGGCTTCTAGCCCTAGAGAATAAGAGGTACCTTTCAAAGAGCCTTCCTTTTCTTCAGGCTTATGATCAAAAGATGGGAACTAGGACCATTCACCTTGTGTGAGTATACTGCCAAAGCACTGATTTTCATGTGTGAGTGTCAAGATCAATGGGAAGTCCAGCAGTGACTGGGACCTCAGGAAAGCAGCATTCCAGGTATAGAGGCATTGGAGCCAGAACCTGTGTAAGGGGCAGAGCATTAAGCAAGCTCATCTGACAAAGCTTAAATCTGATAGGAAAATCCCTACCAGATGAGAAGTTTTTTGTTGGCACTAAATTTACAGTATACATTTATACTCCAAAGGTGATCCAGATAAAAATACACAAACCTATTTGTGTCCTTTCTGTAGCTGGAAATTCTTAGGCTACTTCACTCAGTATCATCCATATTTTTGGTATATTTCTAATATATAGGTACTGTTAAGTCTTTACTCTGTCCATACTACTACCCCTGTGGCTTTTTAAAGTTTGATTTATTCGTGTGTGTGTGTGTGTGTGTGAGAGAGAGAGAGAGAGAGAGAGAGAGAGAGAGAGAGAGAGAGAGAGTTTGGAAGGTTACATATCCTGTGGCACAGGGTTTCTCTGTGTAACAGCCCTGGATGTCCTGGAACTCACTTTGTAGCCCAGGCTGGCCTTGAACTCACAGAGATCTGCCTGCCTCTGCCCTCAGAGTGCTGGGATTAAAGGCATGGGCCACCACTGCCTGTCATATTTTAATTTTTTAAGATTCTCAAACTTCCTAGTTGACAGTCCATAGCATTCCAGAAACCAGACTGGCTAGACTGTCCTTTCACTAGAAACTTATATTGGTCCATTTTTTTTCTACTTAACACTTTACTGCTGTTGGAGAGAACTTGCATCATGGCATTATGAGATTAATAAGAAAAGTTAGTGTAGAGATGTAAACAGTTTAAAGCCAAGGAACATCTGGGATGTTTTAATTTCAACTACTAAGTTTCTCAAAAGGGTAGAAGAGCAGAAGTATTTCTACTCAAGTGGCCAAATGCACCTTTATCTGTTTTCCAAGTTCAGTAATGTGCCTCATAAAATGGAACTTACTCAGAAGGCGCTGTATTTCTACACAGCTTAACTTTAGCTAGTATGCCTACTATAATGAAAGTCAGCACATAGTGACTCTACCAGCAGGGCCTCCCTCCTCAGGAGCAGTGAAGCATCACACAGTGCCTCCCATCTGTCTGCTTTCTTCCTGGGTAGTTGCTCACCACTATTTCCACTGCCACACCACCTGCTTAGTTTCCCATCTTGTGCTTTTCTGTATTGTCCATCTTTGTCTAGGTAATACCAGCCATCATTGCACCCCTGACTTTTCTCAAACAAAAGAAAACCCTATCTTCAGCTACCTCTTGCTTTTCTTTCAGTGTTAGCTACAGTTGAATGCCAAGGCTGTCCTTTAAGGTTTGTTCCTCTTCCTCATGGTTTATACAGTTGTGTAATAGGTTAGCCAGTGTTTACTGTACTCCTTTACCACAGTGTGAAGCTGGGTACTCTGTTCAAGGCTTTTCTTTTGATCATTGCTTGCTACCCAGCTCTAACCTTTTGAAAGCCAATTCTGAAAACCAACTAGTATAATCCTTCAATAGTAAACTGAAAGTTATGAAAATATTCTTTAAAGTTAAAATGTTAAAGGTGGGTGGGGTTTTGCACACCTGGCATCCCTGTACCTGGAGGTAGAAGCAGGAAGGTCAGGACTTTAGTGCCAGCTTCAGCTACAAGAGACTCTGTCTTATTAAAAAAAAAAAAACAAGAGCTGCCGGGCGGTGGTGGTGGCGGCACACGCCTTTAATCCCAGCACTCGAGAGGCAGAGGCAGGTGGATCTCTGTGAGTTCGAGGCCAGCCTGGTCTCCAAAGTGAGTTCCAGGAAAGGCACAAAACTACAGAGAAACCCTGTCTTGAAAAACCAAAAAACAAAAAAAAAAAACAAAACAAAAAAAAACAAAAAAAAAGAGCTAAAATGCTATGACATTAAATCTACAAATAAAAAATACAACATGGTCACTGTACTGTTGAACTCAGCAGCTGTGATTACCTGCAGAAGATTGGGTGTTGGAATTCCATTATGGAGGGACTCATGCCCCCCCCCCCAAGACTTACTAGCAGTTAAAATTTGCTAGGAAGGAATGGCTCATGAGGTTCCACTTCTCCCTGAGGATCTGTACGCAGTTGATGATTCCTTGCAGGAAGAGGAAGTCATATTCCTCAGTGGTATAGGTGCTGGTAAAGTTGCCCATGCTACTGTAAATAGCTGTCCTCCAGAAAGTAGCCCTAAATACACGTGTCTCTCTCTTCATAGTAAAAGCCATACCTATAGGCTGTTATGTCCCCCCTAAAATTCATGTTGAAACCTTAACCTTCAAAACCTTTGATGGTGTTACCAACTTGACACAATCTAAAATCATGTGGGAAGTCTCCATGGTTGATCACCTTGTTGAAGTGAGAAGACCCACCCACTGTAGGTGGCACCATTCCCTAGGCAAGAGATTCTGGACTGTGTGAACACTGATGTCACGTCCCCAGGAAATTCAGAACAAATAGCTATAGCTGTATTCTCCCTCATATCTACAATAAAATCCTTCTCAACCATACCTTGGAGTGGTCATGTCCTCATTTCATTCATCTGGTGCTTGTAACCCAAGGACATAGGTGAGCTCTCTTCCAAGGGACTCATCCTCTCCTAACTGACTCAAGCTGCTGATCTGATTTTCCTATATGTACAGATCACTGTTTATGCTGGCTTCTGCAACCCACCATATTTGACTCCAAATTCTAGAGTTCACATCTTCAACTGTTCCAACTAGCATGCGTGTGTGCATGTATTCATTGCTCTCCTGGCTGTTCTCTGAAGTTCCTGCCACTGACTTTCCTGCCATGATGGACCTGTGAGCCAGAATAAACCTTTCCTCCTTTAAGTTGCTTCTGTTAGCATATTTAATCATAGCAACAGAAAAACTAAAAAAGACAACCTCAAAATGTGACTACACTTAGGGTAAGGCCTTTGAAGAACTGATTAAACTGAGGCCATCTGGGTGGGGCTTAATACAGGTCTGTTAACAGAGATCAGGAGTTCAGGGCCAGCCTAGACTATATGAAACTGTCTCTAAACCTATCAATCCAATTACATGTATGTGTGTACAAATATATATATATGTACACGCACACATATGAATGCTTACTGTAACGAGTTTGAATTGCCCAAAATTTAAAATGTTCCCATATGACAAAAACTACCTCCTGTTAATTATTTAAAAAAACTTAAGCTTACTGCAATGATTTGTTTCCGCCTAGTTTTCACATTCTACCCTTCCCCAATCCCCAGCCTAACAATTCACTCTCCAACTCCAGTATGTCCTTAATTATCATAGGGAAGGGTCTTATCCATATTATATCAGCAGTCAGTCTAGGCTTTGATGTGTTCCCATGGGACCAGACTGTTGTCACTGATACCACATATGAAATCAACTTGGGAAAAATTTATGAGAGGGGAGAGCCTCAGTAACATTAGGCAGGCCTATCTATAGGGTGTGGGAGGGCTCAGCCCATTGTGGGTGAGGCCTGGTGGTCCTGAGTTCTATAAGAAAGCAGGCCAAGTAAGCAGGACCCCTCCATGGCCTCTGCATCAGATCCTGCCTTCTGGTTACTGCCTTGTTTTGAGTTCCTGACTTCCTTTGTTGATGAACAGTGATATGGAATTTTAAGCCATATAAACCCTTTCCTCCCCAAGGTGCTTTTTGGTCATGGCGTTTCATCACAGCAGTAATAACCCTAAGACAGACCATTGCTGCAAGTTGTCTTTTTAGAATAAAGTTTTGAGAGCAAATCACTGAATAGTGATAGGGAAGATACCAAGGAAATACCTGTGTAAATATGGTTGCCTTCATCAACCTCTCAGGAAATACAATCCTGGGCTGAAGATACAGCTCACCCATCATGCATTAGACATAGCAGCACAGGCTCATGCCTGTATCCCTCATCAGGGCAAGAGGACCAGAAGTTCAAGGTCAACCTATAATACATGAGACTTGCTTAAAAGCTAGCTCCTTAGTTGAGAA